AAATACAGTTGGGTTTTTTTTCTAGTGGGATTTCAGGTGCTTTGAATTTGATTTGATCCTTTGAGGTGCACACATAGACATGGTACTGATGCAGCAAACACTTGAATAGCAGAGCAGACTGCTAAAATCTTGCCCTTTTTAAGCAAGGCAGCAGCAAATCACTTCAATCATATGAAGATGGTTTAGAGGTACAGTAGTTATGGAGGGGATGGGAGAACCTCAGTATACAAATGTAACTTTTCAATGATTTTCTGCCCCTTCTCTCAAGAAACTGAGGATTTGAAACTGGCTTGCCAGGTAGTGAATACTTAATCAATATAAAATGTTACCATACAAGTTACTATTTCTGCTTCTTGGATAAGAGTTTGGCAGTTGCAGTAAATGAAGAATTGTGGAGGTTTGTCTCTTTCAGCACCAACAGCTAAAAATTACTGATTAGTACTAACGAGAGAGATACTGTAAAAGAAAAAGCTTGGGTTTTTTCCTATAACAAATTTGATTTGCTAACAATACCGCTTTATAAACTCAATAAGGGAATTCTGAGAAAATGATGTGAAATAAAGCGCCTGTTCTTGGAAGTTTTGGATGCATTCCTTCTCTGGAGCTTGTGCTTAATCAATGTCTAAATATACTGGGAAGGTACACAGTGCTGTTGGGTAGGACAGAAGAGGTCCTAAAATTGCATGTGCATAATATGTTCCTTGTAATGCATATAGTATGTTTATTACAATAGGGGTGATACCAGTATTGGAATTTCTTCAAAATAAATACTGCCTGTTTATATCTAGATTTTTCTCTTCCTTTCAATTCCTGGGTAGGTAGAACCATTTTGATGCAAGAGTGACTGTAAGTACAAAAGTGATTCCTTTATAGAATTAATCACCCTCAAAGGATTCTTGAGATAATCATTTAATGATTATGGAGCACTTGCATGTATGTAGCTTATACATAAAAGCAGTGGTTTGTCACAGATGTAATAGGGAGAAGTAGGGAGAAGACCACAGGAAGAAGGTATCTACAGGTCAGGTCACTTCAGTTAAGGTATGTGTGAAGCCAGGCCCAGCCTCTGAAATAGTTGAACATTAGTTCTGATTTCACAGTTATAGAAATGGAAGCACAGAGATAGGGACCTGAATTCTAGTAGGGCTGAATAATTGTCATTTCTGCTGATTGATAATATCATTACATTGCAGCACTCCTAAAAGTTGGTACCAAGGAAATCCCAGAGAGAAAGTTTGCTTTCTTGGTTGTAGCCATCTTCTAGATGTCACGCTCTGTCTTTTCTTTCCCTCCCAATCTATGTGCATTGTGCATTTTTAATTCTCCTTTTCTGTTGGAGATCAAGATACATGTTTGGCTTAATTGGAGTTTCTTTTTACAGCCTTGCAACAAGACTGGATTAACAGTTGAATTATCCATGCACAACTTCTTCAGAATTAGTTAATATTTTAGCTAGACTTGGGAGCAGCAGTAGGAGGAAACACTTCTATGTTTTCTGTGGCGCCATTAATGGAATATGCATTGTGTAGGGACAATTGCTAGGGAACAAATTAATCACAGATGATTTATTTAACGAAGTACATTATCGATGTTACACTTGGGTGACTTTTTGCAAATATATAGCAACTAATAGGTGCAAATTGGTGTTAGCGTATTTAAATCAATGCAGAAACTACTGCTTTCTTGGTCTGTAGGCCATTTGGCTAGAGAGACAACTTACTGAAGTATTCAGGACTGGCTTAATAGCTTATTTTTATGGAACACATGAAATAGAAATGTATTCCCCTGGCACACTCAGTAAATGCCTGATAACAGCACGGTCACCTACTCGTCTGTAGTTGTATTCAGTTGGTGAAACTAGTTAAGGACAGTCTGCTTCATGTGTGTAGATAAAGCATATGACTTTGAACTGAATGTTTGTAGATGTCTGTAATTGTAGGAATACTGGGATGCTGTAGCACTTAAAGGAAGTGTGACTGCCATTGCGTCACATAAGGTCAAGAGGCTTTCTCCTCTGTTTAAAGTTCTGTGTTTAAAGTTTTCTCCATTTGATTTCTCAAGAGAGCTTAGCTAAAAAATCAGTTAACTCTCTTTTTTTCTGTTATTTTGGGTGGTGGTCTAATGATTTTAAGTGCTTAGTTAATTAATAACAGCCAAGATAGCGGCTGAATCAGAAAGTTTTGTTTGAAATCTTAAAAGTTGTACTATACCTGTTGAATAAGTTTAGGATACACTATATAGGGGACAGTAGGAATAAAAATGCTGCTGTTTTGATTTTTATTTACATACATGGATATTTTATATATATGGTGGTGGTGGGGTGTATATATGTATAAAAACATCTTTTGAAATGCCTCTTTGCTACATGTTTACTATTAGTACATTCTTGGTTTGATTTTTTTCTTTTTCTTTTTGTCTTTTTTGTTGTTGTCGTTGTTTTAGGTTGGGTTTTGAGTTTCCATTAGCAGTACCATCTGGTTATCATTAGGAATTACAGGTTGAAGTCTTTC